GTTTATATCTCTGCATCGGCACGTGTGATTTAAATGAAACTTGGTACGATGCTTGCCCATGGCTCCCCGAGGCTCACTTTAAAAAGAGAAAAAAAAAACACCCGGTGGCGCTCTAGTGGCAGTGTAAATCACTGCGCGGAGACTGTAATAGTTATGAATATAAAATTCACAGGGCACGTCTAGAGTGGTGCCTGAAACTCACATACCAAAAATCGTGTTTGTCGTGTTTGTAGGGCCCCCTACAGCATTTTAAAAAAGCAGCCCCGGCGCCACATTTCACCGATATGTATGAAACTCGGTAGGCACAGATAACATGCTGAGACGCACAAAAAAGCCTCTTGGATCCATACCCCAAACCCCACAGGAAGTCAGCCATTTTGATTTTAATTTTCACTTTCGGCGACCTTTTCGCGTTGTATTTGAACAAACCCCTCCTAGGGAATTCATCGCATCTGCTTCAAAATTATTAGTGCATGTACTTTGAAGGGTGTGTCCGTGGCGTGCCGTCAAAGTTGGCCATTTTGAATTTTGTGCTCATTTTCGGTGAATTTTTCACCTTGTATAACTCCTCCTAGAGAATTCATCGTATCTGCTTCAAAATTGGTCAGTACAGTCAAAAAATGGTGCTGATTTAAAGGTGTGCTATTTGTGCATGTATGTTGAAGGGCGTGTCCGTGGCGGGCCGTCAAAGTTGGCCACGTTGAATTTCGCAGCCTTTTTCTGAGATTTTTTGCATTATATTTGAACAAACTCCTCCTAGGGAATTCATTGGATCTACTTCAAAATTGGTCAATACGTGTTGAATTCCGCTGATTGGCCATGAAACAGATAAATAACTAACAAGATAAACTCATGTCCACTTAATGTCACATATTCTGTAACACATCCTCACAACTTAAGTGTACATGGTCCAATCTCAATGAAACTTCATGTGTTCTATAAGAGTCCCGCCCTGAACACGTTTACATGAAAATATTCAGAAATAATGATAGCGCCACCTACTGGTAACAGGAAGTAAGGGCTGAGTGACGATTTTGAGCTGATTCATGTGAGATTTTCATGTTGTGGTCCACACGTGTTACAGCGGCACGTGATGCGGCCGCAGCACGCCCCGAGTTGTGTGGAGTGCGAGGTCCCGCCCAGCGCTGCTTGCGGCTTTAATTATTATTATTTATTCATTTATTTATTTTCATGCCAAAATAATAAATAAATGAATGAATACAAATAAATAAATTCAGCTCTTTATTAACGAGATACCTCCAACACACTCGACATGTGATTTTTTTGTTTTGTTTTGAGTATATTTTAGTGTAGGCTACTTTACTTCAAGTAAAGTTGTGTAGTTTGTTTTGCAGCATTGTTTACGTTTATACATTTCCTATATTTAAAACAATTGATGCTGTAACTTTGCATTTAATATCACACTGAATTAGCAAAACAAAGTTTATCTGTTTAATACATTTCATAGACAAAGGCAATTCAAAAGGTTTCGTAATGCATGTAAGGTCCAGTGTGTAACATTTAGGAGGATCTACTGGCAGAAATGGGACATAACATTCATAGGTTTGTTTTCATTAATTAATAATGAACTGAATATAATTATTGTTGTGTTTTAGTTACGTTAGAATGAGCAATTTTAAATCTACAGGTCGCCTTTTGCGTAGTTCGCCTGAACTGCCATGTTTCCACAGTAGTCTGCACTACACGGCTAGACGGCACTAAATCCTACACAATTGTCCTTTAAACAGGAACAAAATACAACATAAAATAAGAATAATTAAACTATAAATACAAGATACTTGCTGTGGTAATGAAATGAATGAAATAACAGTCTCAGTAAGTAAGTGGAAAATGAGAAAATTTTTAACCTTTATTTAAAGGTCAAAGTCATGACAAGCCTTAAATCAAGAGGTTTGTTTTTGTTCAGTGGTGCAGTGTAATTCGACGTTGCTTCTTTGGCTCTTCCTAAAGGTTTAGCCCATGATTTGGCAAATTATGGTGCTAATTTTTGCATTGTACCTCTTCCTCTTTTAACACCAGACGATCACTGCGTCGTCAGTTTCCTGGGATTTTCTCAGTTTTAGTGTTTTCTTCTGTACACACCCACAGAAGAGCATTGCACCAGCATTCCATCTTGCTGCTGCAAAAAACAAATCACAGATCACATCCTGTGTGCAGAGGCTTTTAATCTACTTTAACCTTTGTCTAGTACAAAAAAAAAAAATCCCCATGAAAAACAAAAGCTTTTAGGAAAAGGTGAGATCATTTTAATATATAGTCAGCCAGGAATGAAGAAGATAAAATGTTTTTAATGTTGAATATTACTTTAAAAAGGTGCAATATCTTTGTACTAGATGTCACAAAATCCTGCGTCAGTGTCTATCTGCGTCTGTCCCCTGGCACATTATATGTTTTCAGAGTTGTTGTCTCTTGATCTTACGCGACAACCGTCATTTGCCTGGTAACGGTAACGGTGACAGATATCAGAAATACGCAGAAAGTAAGTGCAAATACTTTCTCTTCTAGTAAGCATAACATCTGCTCCACTTTCAACACTACCCAGTTGCAGAGTAACACATTTTTAGCCCTAACTCAAAAGAAGCTAAGAAATAATTCATGTGCAATATCCAGAGGGCTACCAGTCAGCTCTGGGATCACAGCAGTTTAAACATTTATTGTAAAGCACTATGTTGACTGAACAAATCTACAAATAATTGTAGTTCTGCAATAGTAAAATCTTATTTGAAGCAATATAAATCTCAAATAGTAACTAAACAAACTGAGATTTAGCGGTGAGGATTTGTATAAAGCTCAGTGTATTGCATATTGTGTTGGTATGCAGTTCAAATGTGTTACAGTTGATGGGAACTACAAACCAGAAATGAATGTAAACTGCCATGCTTTTATTTTTTGCATACTTCAACCCTGAGTGCTGAGTCTGAACTATACACCAATTACTATCTATATATCTGTAGGGTTTTTATGTATCTATTTCTTTCAACACTCAAACAGAAAATGTTGAGGTTTTATTTCTGTTACCTCCACCTATAGGTGCAGTCCCATATACAAAGTTTTTTTTCTGTGCTGGCGGCTGACTCGTTAGTGGGGGTGTTCTTGTGTAGTCTCAATCTTAAGATGTTCCTCCTAAAAAAAAAAAAAAAGATACTGACTCAACATGTATGTCTGTGTCCACAAAAACAACATTCCTTCCATGTGTTCCCCTCTTCTAAAGATTGTGTTTAATCTCCTTCACTCTTCAGCTACTTTTACCTGTTAGGGTGGGACAACAGACTTTTTCACAGCAGCCATTTTGACATAAAATAGGGTAAACACAGGTGTTACCAATGATAGCTACTCAGGCCTTAATTAAGGTTCTGTACCATTCGGGTCAAACGGGGCAACGGAACCTAATCAATTCTAACAACTGTGTTTACCTTACTAATGGCTGCTGTGAAAAAGGTCTATTATCACCTTTATCAGTCTTATAAGTCTCCACAGAACACCTCATAACTTCCTCCACATCTCCTCCCAACTTCGACCTGACATGAGTTCTAATTAGCCAGACTGACTGAAAACACGTGTGCGAATGTTCAGGACCTTTAAAGGTCACAGTGCGACTGTATGACTGCATCATTTCATAAAAAAGGAACAAATGAACAAATAACAATAACTTCACTTTGGTGTGATATGATCTACTCATGCAGAAAAAATAAGTTAACTTTAACTTTAGTGCTTTTAGATGATTGTTCACTGTGGCGTTCTCCACTGGAAGAGCACCATAGAAGGCTTTTTATCACGTTGTTTTGCACATTGGGCCAACGGGGGAACTTTATTACGTTTTATCCAACATAGAGGCACTTTTGCTAAGTTTCTTTCAAACATGGGGGCACCAGGGAGGGCGATTGCTGCCCACCTGCCGCCCCGAATCCACCAGTGGTTGTACATTATCACAGGAATAACAGATTCAAGTTGAGATTCCAGTTACTTTATTTGTACCTGTAGGCAGATTTGGTTTGCAGTGAAAGACAAACAAAAAATAAGGTAACAGGTGTGAGATCTGTGAACTCCCACCACAAAGGAAGTTGTGACACTACAACAAGAGCTGTTTAAAGTTTGATCTCCCTCACAAGCAATGAAACTTTTGCTTATTAATCAATATAATAATATAATATAATAATTGTCTCAGGAGTCAAAATCAATTCCTGTAGATTGTTTCTAGTGACAATACATTTTTGAGGAACCAGAGAAAAAGTGACTGACTAAAATCTTCTGAAACAGGCTTCACTACTGATAAACCTCATTTCAGTGTAGGGTTGGCTGACTCATTACAAATCCTGTAGATTTTTGAAGACTTCTCACTTTTTTATCTGGTTTGGTTTATGTTAAAATTGTATCAGGATTACAACCTGTCACTTGTTCTCCATTAAAATGTTTTTTACTTAACGACAGCCAGCATGAACTTGGCGGAGGAGGCTCTCAAGAAGCAAGCATTTGAGTGGTTGTATCTTTCATGTGGTTGTTTCCATTTCTTGGGAGCATACGTAAGATACTAATCATGTTCTTACCAGCAAAACAATACAAAGCTGCATATTTTCCGATAGTTAAACCAAAAAGCTCTTCGCTTTGAAAGAGTCCTGAAAGAGTAAAAAATAACCCAGATAAAAGGTAAAGCTGCTTAATGATAACATTAATGTTTCCTAAAAGCTTTTATAACGAGGTAAGCCACTGGAGAGGTGGAAAATGAAGCAGTTATGCATCTTAAATATACATTATTTCATATCAATCAAATGAACTCACACACATTTAATGATTTAAAGTACCATTATCAAAATATATACCCTAGTTAAACGTTGAGTCAGAAATCTAAAGTTTGAATCAGCAAATAATGAATTAGTGGAGTATTTATTCAATTATGTTACTTAAATGTCATGCATGTCTGTCATATAATGTTTGTATTTTAATGTCAAGATCATTATGTGCAAAACTCTACACCGATCAGCCAGTGACGAGAGATTATACCTGTGAGTGGGTGGATACAATCGTCAAGCAGTGAAGCCCTGTGGCGTGTCAGTTTTACATCCTGTGGATCTAAGGAAACATTCAGCAGCAGTCGTCGGCGCTGAAGTGTTGAATATGCTGAAACTACTTCTAATCACTTTGACTTTTTATGAACTCATTGTTCATGTGAATGCCTACAACTGCCCAAAAGGTAAAGTAATGACTTTCTTGTACTACAATGGCGTTTATATTATAATTATATAGGCTGTTTTTTTTGGTTTTGGATCGACTACTACTTCAACCTTTCAATTTTTCATGTGCTTCTGTGTGATTAAAGTGCATTGTTGTTGTTGACACTATAATAAATCAAGGTCAAAGAATCGCAAAAGATGGCAAGAGCTGTGAGAGCTGCCAAGATAATACTTACCAGCCGGAAGACAATCGTTCCCAGCGCTGCAAAGCATGCACACATTGTGATGAAGGTACGTGCTGAGGCTGAAGTCTATAACAGTCTATAAACTAACATAGCTGGACCGTGTAATGGTCAGTGTAATGTAGTTTTTAACTTTTTAGTTTCATTTCTTTCCCCCCGCTCCAGTATGACAGCGTATCATTACATTACTGTACATATTTGAATTTTTGTTGAATTTTAATAGGTTTGTTAAAATTGATATTATCTGGATCGAGATGACTCTGATATTATAAAAAAAAAAATCAGACATTCATATAATGTCCTTATATTTGAATGGTCATATTGTCAGATTTTGTATATATATGTTTTATTTAGAAGGTTTTCTGGACTTTTCAGTGTATTCCTGTTCAAGATGACCCTGATAATGTAATCATGTCAAGTTTGGAGTTATTTTACCGTACAGTTTTTGAGAAAGTTAGCACAAATGACATAATAAGATTAATAATTTCCTCATGTTTAAAATATCAGAAAAACAAATCCTTAAGGGGGTTGTCTCGTTTGACCAGTGTGAGCTGAATTAGGCTACTAATGGGTCTATTCATAGAGCCAACACTTTGCAGTTTAATCGTTCACTTTGTACTGAAGAAGCGAGCTACTTTCCCCCCAAATTCAGCAGCTGTTTCTCAAGTCTCAACCTGTCTCTAACAAAGATTTATCACCTTTGTTGTAGACTCTGGGAGTTTTGTTAAAAAGCAGTGCACGAAAACGACAAACACAAAATGTCAGTGCCGTGGAGAATTTGTTCCCTTCGACAATGATTCTTCCACTTGCAAATGTGACACTGGATTTGGACTACAGGGCCGAGGTACAGAGATCTATCAGACAACTGTGTATGCAATATGTCAAAGAAATTCTCTTTTTAATGATTCATTCTTTTCTCTTGCCAGTGTGTTCAAAATGTAAAGATGGATATTTCAACGCAGGAATCAACTTGCCCTGTAAAAAATGGAAAGAGTATGTCCACTGTGTTCCAGTGTTTTCTAGAGATACATTAAATAAACACATTTAATCTCAAATGTTTGTACCTGTTGTTTACAGCTGTATCTTTTATCCTTCATTCTAGATGTAAATCAGGAGTGAATATTAACGGCACCAACAAGTCAGATGTCGTCTGTAATGATGAGTCGAAGGGTAACACTTATGTCACTACACCTCTCATGACAAGCACGACAGTTTCTCTAATGACACGCTTAACATCGAAACGTCCACATGAGGGGGCCGTAACTCAGAAGATGCGGACCACCACCACCACCACCACCACCACCCCATCTACTCCCAGACACCCCGCCACTACAGAGGAGAAAATTCAGCCTTTCCAGCCTTCAAACGCAGGCAACTACAATGCTAAAACATCTGCTGCTGTCTTTTTATGACACAATCTCAGATTAAAAAGGAACATAAAATAACCTGTTGCTTGCTTGTCTTGTTCAGGTATGGCCCTCCTCATAGTTGGAATAGCTATACTGCTGATACTGACCTTGGTGACCTGCAAGCTGCACATTGCTCCTTGCATGGAGAAACAACCAGCAGTAAAAAGTATGTCACAGGATTAAAAGTTAAAGCTGTTCAGTGCTTACAGAGTAGTATGACATTTTGGGAAATGTGTTCGGTGTTCGGTTCGTTGCTCAGAGTTTTATGAGAAGTTTGGTTCCACTCAAATGTCCTACTTGCATATGTATGTTTGTTTTTTTGTTGTATTTTATATTTTTTATGAATTATGAATGTTTCACATGAATTTACCCACCTGTACTCCTTCCCTCTAGGTTATGTGTCATTTATCAAATGTGCCTATATCTTTTCAGATGGCCCAAAGTCATGGAATATGGATATTAATTGTAGATAGAGTGTTGTAAATATTAAATTTTCATTAATTATCCTCTAATGTCTGTTTTCAGAAAATGAGTCGTTGTGTCGGAGGCCAGTGGAAGAAAGTGGCGATGACAGTCTGTCCTATCTCAAACTGAATCCAGGAGAGCCTTGAGGTGAAACTTTAAAATCTGTCAATTTGTGCTGTGAATTTTAAGATCAGAGAATCATCATATGAATAAATATGCACTGATCATGTTTTCCTCAGATTGTTCATCTTACATGAGAAAATACATCAGACAAACTTTTTACTGTATCTGTATTATAGCAGATGTATTCAAGATTAATATCTAGTTGTCAATATTTGACTGGGTTGTAATAGAATATTGGGTGAACCATACGAAAGATTTGTATGTGTCATACCTCACATTTCATGTCATTTGAAGTAGTAAATGTAGTTTGTACTATTGTTTATTTCTTTCTTTAGAAACATAATTTAATCAATAATTCACTTTCTATGTAACCTTAATATTTATTACAAACTTGGATATGCAGAGTTTTGTAACAACCTCAGGGATCATGCCACTAAATGTCTTTGTAGTAGTTCAAACATTCTTTGCTTTTTTTTTTTAACCTTGTGATCTTCTATAATGTGAAATGGTTTAATGGGGCAAGGACACATTTCTGAGAAATATACAGCATGAAATATGGTTTATAGTGAAGGTAGTAACATTAAATACCATAGAGCCAAATTATTATGAACTGCTGGAGAGCCTTTGAAAAATCTTCATGAAGTGTTTCTCTATTTTTATGTCTGTTTTGTTTATTCGACTCTGTTCCTCTAGTAGCAGGTCTGTCTGGCTGAGAACAGTAAAAAAAAAATGCTTTCAGTAGTATGTGGGTTGGGGAGTTCCCCATGTGTCTCTTTTTCCCTCTGAATAGTTCGTCTTGTGTTTTAGTTAAGCGGTTGGAAAGATTGATCTTGTATATGCATTGTTGTTTAGACCTCACTGGAGACTTTCCCCAGACCTGTACAGTGAGAGGAGTTATGAAAGCACACCCTTGATGTTTACATTCATTTGTGTTTTGATAAGAGATGTTGTGTATGTACCTGTCTGGCACAATGTGACTATAATAATCTACTTGGAAAAGCAGAAGTCTGGTTCCAGCTCATTGATTCCTTTAACAGTGCCCTCTGCTGGAATACTTTAGGAAAAAATAGAGGAATGCCCTCTATTGTTTTATATCACCTTAAACCTTACAAATGCATGACATTTATATAAAAGGAGTATGTGACTCATTTTCAAACGTATCCTAATCAAGATACATCATTCACAGGAGTTTATGCTAGTTTTTGCTTACCATCTACTTTGTATTTTTCTGTTTAAAATATCAATAACTACAGTATATCTGTGAAATAAAGTGTGTATATATAATAATTATACTAAGTAGAAGTATAATACGTACTGCTAGTAATACTCAAATGCTCAAAAGCTCTTCACTTATTTACAGTAAATTCATACTTTCCACAACTTTTAAAACAACAAATAGTAATTAGTAGTTGTTATCTCACTCTTATTGTAATGCATTTTTTGTTTCTGATATTTTCTTTTCTGTTTTCATATAGCTGTGTGAATTAAGATTTTCTATAAATAAAGTTGCCTTAAAGTACAACTAACGTGAGTATGTGGTTTTGTGAGAGTTTGCTAAAAACAGTTCCTGTAGATACTTTCAGTAAAGGTCGCTGATCCAGGAAGTTGTTGTGTGGTTTCAAAGAAATATTTGAACTTACCTTGAAACTTTTGCTTTGTAAAGTACAGCAACTTTACATCCTGAATGGCAGGAATAAACCACCAACTGATAGTAGTTGTGACATTACTGAGGCATTTTATCAGATTTCATGGGACTCTCTCTGGAGTCATCAAAGGTTTTATACAACTTACTGTCATATATGCACTAGTCAAGACCTGTAAACAGACTGCGATGTGTGTGGAGTTCCCCTTTAATTTAATAAAACATGATAAAGTATTTACCTTTATATACTACATAACTTAACCTAAAGTATTTACATTATGTTGAAGGATCGACTACAACAACCCACCCCTCACCACAACACCTACAGAGAGTGGGTGCAGTCATAAAGGGTAATCAAGCTTTCTAAAGTGTCTAAAGCACCTGTTGTGGCTACACAATAAAGATTCACCCTGACGACTGTGAAGAACTACTTGTACTTGACGTATAGTAGCACGTCTATGGTTATGTCACAACCTGAGGGAGGTTTCAGACATGCGACCATGTGGTTGTGACTGACAGAGAGAGAAGTACATTTCTTTAAAACTCTTGGTGGTGCAGCCACGTGTGATGAGGTTTTAAAGGGTGTGAATTCAGATGGGGGATGTCGCTGAATCCTTTCCCAAAGCACATGAATTGGTTTTTCGGTGCATTGGGTAATGATTCAAGGTGGCTTCTCACACACGTCTGCACAATGATGCGGACTACAGGCGATCCACGCATATGAGAACGACAGCAAACATCAGGCTCTCAAAAATTTTCAGTGTTAATCACTTACTCGCGCAAGCTTTCAGAATGACTCAGTGTGCACACATAATCAGAGTTAGTGGGCTTATTTCAGCATGTTTCCCTAGAGCCAAAAGCACCTTCACAAGGCTGCAACCAATTATTTTTATTATAGATTTTGTTATTTTATGATTAAGGAATTAATTAGTGTGGTATATAAAATGTCAGAGAATCAATCAATTGTGAAACCCTAATATAATATATTTACAGTCAGATTAAACAGAGAAAAACAACAAATCCTCAAATTGGAAAATATTGCAGCCATGCACATTTGCTGGTGTTTTTGTTTATTAATTTCAGCACTACTCAACAGTGTGTTAGATTTGCTGGGAAACTTCCTCTCTACAGCAAGCTGACAACAGTATTTCTTTGCACATCATCATGCATGTTAAGCTACTCCTACATTACATGAACTATATAATCTCAAAAGTGCAAGAACTTTCTATACATACGAGTGCTAAAAACCACACACATACATGTTACGACAAAACCCTGCTCCAATGAAATCCGAAACCACATGTAACCGATATGAGATATTTAGTTTTTTTAAGTCTCAGTGGTGTATCTCAATAGCTTGGCAAATATCTATCTGAGTGAGTAGATATCACCAAGGATAAGTAGGAAAATATGAAAATGACAAGAACTGCTACAATCGCTGATAATTTCAACAAGAGATTTGTTGTGTGGTCTTTAGTGGTATATGGGTGAACAATCACAAACAGGCTGTTGGTAAGCTTTGGTGGCATCTTATCAGCTCTGAATCCATGCAGCATCCAACTTGAATCCTTTCAAATCCTAATTAAATCTACAAATAACTTATAAGAACTAAAAATAAAAGATTGATGATAAAGATCGATCACTTCCGATATTATTTTATTTAGCTTAGCGAAAAATATAAAGATCAAAAAGACCTCAAACAATCCAGATATTTCACCAACTTGACGAGCGACCCCGGTTAAAACCCACAATCGAAACCCAATCTAGTCATAATGCTTCTTCAACATGACACTTTTGGCTTCCTCGTCAGTGGTCCTGTTTTATACCCCATATACAGTAGTCCATCAAATTAAACCACCAAGAGATTGCCAGGAGTAAAATTAGTAGTAAAACCTTATCTTCAGGTTTGCAGAACAGATTTTCAGTCTTACAGCTGCGTTGAGTTGTTACTGATAGAGAGTATTCTTTTGTTTAATATCTCTGCCTGGCACGGACATTGACACTCACATACAAAAGCAAGCTGGCCAGGATTGTCAAAACAGCAGGAAAGATAATAGGCTGCCAACAAAAGTCTCTGGATGACCTGTACAGCACAGCTCTACACAGGAAAGCTTTGTCCATCATTGGTGAAACTAAACACCCCCTCCATGCTCAGTTAAAGCTGCTCCCCTCAGAGCGAATCTACAGAGTAACTCTTATCATTATAATCTTATACTTAGTGCATATAAAAGTTCATGAACAAATTGCAGTGTGTCATGTGCATATGTTGTATTAACTATTGTGATGTGATGATGAAATCTGCCGCAATGCTGTAATGTGATGTTTTTGTCTGATTGGTGAGACCACAGGTTGTTTTCTGGCCTCGGTTGGACAATAAAGTTGTATTCTATTTTATTTTTTTACTTTTGTAAAGGAGCCTTCAAGGACCAAAAGTAGCCAATCCTGGAATTTAGAGACGAGTGGACCACGTAGAAGTCAAATCTGACACCTGAAAGGGGATACCTGTATCTTATCCTAGTGTATGATCATATAAGCATCCACTAATCATGGTTTTAAGAGTTGAGTTTCTTTTGTGCATTTGCTAGTTAAACTTCAACTGTATCCCAATTTCAGCAGAAGTGTTAAAATCTCTGACAAAACCTGAAACAACACCAACACACGCCCTACCAATTGGCTTTACAGGAAAGTCTCTAGAAGACAGCTCCGTAATAGTGAACACATGCTGATGACACATACTGCTGATCCTGTCTTGATTGTTGTTGTCTTTATAATTTACCTATACATATCATCCATGTTGTCTGACAAACACCAGGCTTCCTGCTTAACACAAAGCTAAATATTCCTACTTTAGAAAACATAAAATAAAATGTAACAATAAAATCACAACAAATATCTAGTAAATTGAGTAAAAAAAGAAAGAAAGAGAAGAGACAAAAAAACAAAATACACTATAGTTACTTTTGTCATTCACTGTATGCTGCTGTTAAATTACCAGCGTAGTGACAAGTGGTCTTTCACTTCCTTCACTCTCACACACAGAGCAAAACCACACTCACAATTGATACGTCATGAGACTGAGAGGATAAAACCATGAGTGAACAAGCAGAGCATTGGTCATAATGGGTTCCCTGCGCTCTTCACTGGCTGTTATATGTGTATTGAGTATTTGGACTACAGGATATGCTGCAGACTGTGGTGATCGACAGACTAAGACAAATGGACGATGCTGTGACCTGTGTCCCCCAGGTAAAACACATAATCTTTAAAATGATAAGATAAATTGTGTTTTATATAAATCTGTTAAGTTGTTTTGGATAATTATGACATTGTCTCAAGGCACTGAGTGGGAATGGTTTCATTTGTTTGAAGGTGAATATGTTGAGGCATTCTGCACAGAGCAACGGAAAACCGTCTGTAGCCCCTGTGGGGAGGGCTACTACTCGAGCCAATATAACTTCTTTGACAGATGTGAGAAATGCCGGTCATGCCAACAAGGTAAGACAAAAAAATAATGATGAAAGGGTTTTGATATACACTAAAATGGTAGCTCTGCTCTCTGAGGATCTCTAGTGAAACACCTGCCAGGTGATGCTAACAGTGAATTTTGCACAATGGATAAAATACAAAACACTGTTATTACATGGAAGACCTGGGGTTTGAATTCTGGTCTGTCTGCAGAATATGCTGGGAAATGTACACCGACCGCAGATGCAAAATGTTCGTGCCGTTCTGGTTTCCTGTGCTCCAACAATGTCTGTTCAAAGTGTGAGGAAAACAAGTGTGTCACAGGGGAGAAGGTGAAGAGGACAGGTGAGAATGGACATATTTTTCAGATGAAATAAATAAGTTGGGACTTAACTGTTTGTTTTAAAATGAATTGCTGCTTTTAATATATCAACTGCTTTTTTTTATTTGTGTCGCGCCAGGGCGTGTCAAGGTTTGCAAATGTATATGTGGGTTCAATTTCTTAGTAACTCAGTTCCCTCACATGCACACAACTGGTGAGGTTTTCCCATATTGTTATCACATTCAAATTTGAACATGTGTTAATGTGTTCCTTTATGACTGCTAGTACTTTAATTCAGAAAAAGTGGTTCATCTCAGTATTAAGAAAGCTTTGTCAAGATTTTGAAGCCAATTTTAGAATCAAATGCAAGGGGGTAATGTTTCAACTCCATCATACAATAATCTTAATAATGATGTTTAGGTGCATTTCAAATGGGGAAACATCACAAAACTGACTGCAAGCTGTGGTTTGACTTTAACAAGACTAAAGGTCTACAACCACACTGCTCTGTGAGGTTATATTCAGCAGTTGAGTTTAATGTAAATTTCAGCATGCTAACACCGCCGCAAGATTAGCAAGAATCAAGAACATTCGTGCTACACACATAGAAAAAGCCAGTAAAATTCATAGAATAAATGAGTGATTCTTTCATTGAAAAGATGTAAACACAGCCTTTCAATGATCTGGAACATAAAATATAATATCTTCAACAAACATTCATGTATAATTACATTTTATATAATAAATTGAACTAAAATAAAAAATAAAAACGTAAGTGTGGCATGTGCAACAATTGTTTTCAACGATCTTTTCAGCTTCAGCTCTTTTTTTGTAACAGATGCTGTGATGTTTACTCCCAGATGGTATTTAGCGGAATCTATTCTTCCCTCCGCACGTGCAATGTTTTCTGTGCCTCTGGCTGCAACACAACCGTAAAGCATGATAGGTCCACCTTTAGTTATTGTGAATTTCCAAAACACATCAGGCTTCTGCCGATGTTTCATACTTCTGTCTGATGTGGACACAGATAAGGTTCCCCTCTATTAACTCTTTCTGCGCAAGCAGCTCTAGACAGTGAAACTCTGAAAGTCTGCTAAATTTTCTGGCATATGAGCAGTTCTCTCTGAGAGTTTTCTTGGTCTTCCAGATCTCATCTTGATCTCCACTGTTCCCCTAAACTGCCATCTCATACTTACATTTCACTGGAAACTGCAACATTACGATGCTTTGCTCTCATCTTGTTGCTTTCTCCTGCATTGTGGGCATCAATAACTTCTTACACAGCTGATTAGTGGAACCTATGGTTGGTGAGTGTTCACACAAGGTTTGAAGAATCAGAGTATTTGTAAAGCTTTGAAACTGGCACCAGCTGACACTTCCTAATCACAACTGCCTCAGGCCTAAGGTGCTGATGAAAGTCTGAGACCTTGTAAAAAAAAGAGTGCCCAAACGTTTGCACATGCCACAATGTTTTTTATTTTTGTTCAGTTTATGATAAAAAATGTAAATATGCATGAATGTTGAATATTGTGTTCCTTGCTCTAGATTATCTATTTGTCAACAGGTGCACAAACTTTAACATTTAACTGTATACACCCAGGAAATAATTCTGCATTGCATATTTTTAATTGTGTTCAGGGGAATGTAAACATCTATCATCTATCTATCGTTGCAGACATTTCCCAGGGAAAATGGTTGATAGTGTATTCATATCAGTGTGAGCCTGCATGCCCTAATGATGCATACTTTGATGTGAAAGAAAATGTCTGCAAGCCACGAACACAGTAAGACCCCAAGACTTCAGCTACAATAATAATTCCTCATAAAAACGGCAAATTACTGTAACATAAACAATTTCTGGTCAACAGGTGCAGTTTATTTGGACTTGCTGAGCAGTTTCCAGGCAACAAAACCCACAACTCTGTTTGTGATCGAGGTGATATGTAAACATATATTTTATTGACATAATCTATATGTGGATGGAAACTAAATGTTTTTGCTATAGTGTACCAATGACAATATTGTTGAACTGAACTAACTTGACTATGATTTGATGTTTAACCAGAGAGGCACAGAAATGGGAAAGACTTCATTCATGTGATCCTTGGCATCGGCTTTGTTTTGCTTTCTCTCACCTTCCTTGTGCTTGTATCTTATGCCTGTATGAAGAACCTGAGGAAGCAAAAACCATGTAAGTGGCCATAAATGAAAATACAAACAATTCATTAAAACATAGGCATGATTTTAAAGAAAGGGATTTTCATGCAAAAATACAAAGACAACAAACTACTACTTACTACTAATAATATTTCAGTAATAACAAATACTACTACTACTAATAATATTACTTTCCCCAGAAAGGGAGTAATAAGTAAAATAATAATATTACTTTTAAAAAGAGCAATAAACTAGTTTTTTTAATAACTAGCCCAACACTGTTGCTGACAGAGTGAAGTGAAGAGAAATGGGTAGAAACAAAATGGCTCTGAAAGCAATTTTCAAAAAGTCTATAAATTATTAACCTTATTTGACAGGTTTGAATTGTAAACTGCATTGTCGTAATCAGCCTTTTACTTAGATCTTTGTATTATTTGTTTTTTGTGGTAATAGTTTAATACAAAAATGTGAAAAAATAAACTTTCATCTGTCTCATATTGTTTTAAATCACATAAAATAAGATAACAACAAATATCAAAGGCCTTTGGTAAAAAAAAAAAAAATACACATTATATATACATTTACACATCATTTAGGCCTACACATTTAAAAATAAAAAAAAGCAGCATCAACATCTGAGGGACCTAAAATACTTGGAATAAATTAACTGATGATGTTAATAAAATGCGACTAAGATATGGCTGCAGTGGGTATTTGATGATGCTATTGATTTCATAATGTTGTGTTTATTTTTATTCTCTCTCTTTTCAGATGCTCATCCCATCGGCATCCCAGCACTCTCAACCAACACCAGCAACTTTCACCTGTCAAAGGAGGAGAGTGGGTTCCAGCTCATCATCCAGGATGAGTCCAGGAAGAGTGAAAGTTTGGACCAACTGCAGCTGGAAAAAATCTGTGCTTTGTGATAACAAGTCTATGATGACATGTTCAATCACAAGTACTATAATAATATTAATATAATGGTACAAAGGATCTTCCTCCGTATCAGCACACATTTAAATATAGAGAAACCTGTTGAGATTAATGGTACGGGCTTGTGACTGAAAGGTCCCTGGTTCAATCTCCAGCAGGATAGATCTCAGCATTATGATTACATTAGGGTATCACTGAGCACGCGATTAACCCTCATCTGCTCTAGTACTCAGTGTTCAACAGATTAAAGGTCCAGTTTTCAATGTGTGGGAATGTAAAGCGTGAAAGTTCAATAGTAGGAAATCTAGTGTCTATATATTTAGTTGTTTCTTACAAACGCCCCAAAGAGGGCTGTGACTGTAAAGATTGTTTTGTAAATCTTCTGAAGAATAAATAAAGGTTTTTAAAGGTTTCCAACTCAGGATGTCTCTTCCTGCCAACATACATACTCCTTGTGTATATAGAAGGAAAAACCCAAATCTGCTTTGCACAGAAACACCTGCCAAATGAATGTAACTACAATAGTAATTGATTAGTATATCCAGGTTATATTACAGAACTCAGTCATGGTCTGAGTGAAGACCCATTTCAGACATTCAGTGCTTGTTATAAAGTTTCTTAATGGTGGAGGTGGTTGGTGGTCTCTGGTGGTGGCAATGAGGGGAGTTTGGGTGAAAGCTACAGATGAGAAATAATTTTGATTACTGAATTGGGGTCGGCATATATGTATTTATTGAAAAATTATATATGCTTAAATGTACTTTCTGTTGGTGAGTTGTCCATTTGATGGCTATTCACATTTACACAGAGTAAGGAAATCTTTACTTTCCACCTTTCTGAATCTGCTCAGTTTATCTTCATATTGATTTCTTTAAATAAAGTTATAATGAAGTGCTTGTTCTAGCGTTTACTCTGTATATCTTTTATTATAAAAACCATATGAATATTGCTTAGACAAGACAAGAAGGTGTAATAAGTTTGAAACCACACAACAATATGTTATTATCAGGACCATAACCAGGTTAGAAGTAGAAGTTCACGAGTCATATATGCAGGTTTTGTTGACTGTTGTCTTGTTGTTGTTGTTTTTTTGTTGTTGTTGTTGTATGATGTGGTTAAAACATTTACGGTTATACTAAATGATAATTTCTAGACACATTTCTTAAAAACTGCTGACGTAATTATGCGACGGCGGATGTTGATGACGTGTCTGCTGCGGTGGAACTAAAACGTTCTGAGGCTGGACTACAAAAAGCACATCTTATAGGTACTTCGCACGTGCACTCTCACCGTGTAGTTTCATGTAGGCGATAGCCACGCTGATAACCCGGTGAAACCTGTGATTTCACTGCAGACATTGGAGTTAGAATAATACAAATAAAAATCTACCAGCTACTGAACATATAATATTTTTACTGCACTTGACAAATATTCTTTATACTTCTTTACCTCTTCTGATCTTTTGCACATTCCTGCACAAACTGTACATCTTCCATTTAAAATAACAGCCACATTGCACATACTGTCTATTATTGTCTTTATAATGTGTTTTTATATATTATTGTTAATTTTCTATTCTATTGTTTCCTGTGTTTATTGTTATGCACCAATATACTGAGGCAGATTCCTTTATGTGAAAACCTGCTGGGATATATTCTGACTCTGATCCTTCTGAAGTTTCAGCATATGTGACTGAAGAACAGTTAAAATATTTAAATGATATTCCTAAAGGCTGGAAATACAGCAAAACTTCACTTTGATCATTTTAATATAATAAGGTTTATACACGTTAATATGATTCACACAAGACCACAGCTTCATCAATTCAAGTAGATTAATAATAAAACAAATAATCTGTGTCCTTTGCTTTGTGGGACGGCATTATCTCCTTTCTGTCTAAGGGATGGTCCATCCTCTGCTAAAGGAGATAATAAAGGAAGCACTGAAGATAAGATAGACTTTATTGATCCCACACTGGGGAAATCCACTTGTTACAGCAGCTCCAGGTGTAACACAGCAAATAAGAAAATAAGAAATACACATTAAATAACAAAATAAAATAGATATCATAGATAAAAAACACTCAAATACTACCGGTTCTTTAATTCATTTAGGAACCCTCCTAATCAAAAAAGACTACTTGACCTGAGTGCAGCCTTAGTTAATATCATTGGTAACACCTGTGTTTTACCCTATTTATAAGTCAAAATAACTGCTGTGAAAAAAAGATCAATTATTTTGGCAGAGTTAACAGTAAAAGTTACTCATATTAACCTCCACATTACCCAGAATAAGGTACTTGTTCTTCAGCGTCTTCATTGATAATATTCATGGGAAGACCTGTTATAATGTAAACTAAGGTTCATTTAAGGTATAATTATTATTAGAAGTTAACATTTTATTTATTTCTCTTCAGGGGGGGGTGAACCTGGGTGCGTTCCCTCCGTTTGCCGGTGGGGGCGCTGTAGAGCACGGTTTATGGCACACTGATCATATGACAGCTGCCTGCGTCCCACACTTCCCTTCCCCGCTGGAAAAACGCCACATCTGACAGGGAGGGAGAAACAGAAACAACCACGGGGGAGCTTGAACACCGACCTCAAGATGCTGGCACTAATAAACCGGCTTTTGGACTGGTTCAGGTCTCTGTTTTGGAAGGAGGAGATGGAGCTGACGCTGGTCGGCCTCCAGTACTCGGGAAAAACAACATTTGTAAACGTGATCGCTGTAAGTCTTCAGCTGCTAGCCAACCTTGCTAGGGGCAGTGCTAATACCATAAGCGCTAATAATGGGATAACTAGAGCTAGGTTTGTACAACAGCTCTCTGGTTGTCGGGTCCTAAAAACGGTGTGATTTTTACCCTGTCGGGAGGGAAGCATCCATAGAAACAAAATCTGAAAGTGAGTCAGGTAGTTGTTCTTGTGTGTGTGTGTGTGTGTCAACAAGCCAGCTGAGCTAACTCGTTTGCTCCTAATCTGCCAGTAGCTTTTAAATGTGTTGTGATTGTTTAGCATGCTCAACTCCAGTAGGGGTACATACATTGGCTCTGTTGTGACTCAAGATTTGCTCACTTTTCACACTGTGGGCTCTCTTTTACTCTGAGTTCAAAGCTGTCAGCTGTCTGTCAGCCTCCAGGAAATTAACTGAAAAGAAAAACATGCTGACCATTATAGCAGCTGCACATTACAACACTGTGTCTGCTTTTGTAACAGGTCTCCTGCAACAAGTTGAAACTGACCTCAACTCCAAAGCAGCAAAGATGTTAAATTGCAGTCAATAGACACTGGGTTACAGACATATTTAGACAAATAAAACCTGTGTTTAAAGCTATTAAGTGTTGATATCTGAATGCATGTGGCAGAAAACAGCTTCCTTCAACACACCAACAAAAGGGACTAGAGTAACTAGTTTCTAAGCATTGTTCAGTTAAATGGAGGATGTAACTGAAACAGCAGTTAATGCTTTCTGTAGCTATCTGACACAACTGAAATGATGCAAATGATCCAGACATTTTATCTTCTGCGTCTGTTCTGTTTGCAGGCCGTTTCTCTTGTGCAACTGTTTGCAGGGGTTTCTTAAAACTGGTGTTTCTCATGGAGCAATGTTTTTTTTGTTGGCTAATTACTAGACAGCAGCAGAATTTTTAGCAGCATATTGTTAAAAACCTTTTTGCCCTCATGCATCTTACTCCATCGGCTCTCTCTGATGAACAATCAAACATTTTACTGTGCATCCTTTGGTGTGCAGTGAGGGAGAATACCCTTGCATCCTAATAATGATAGCTAAAACTTGGAGCGATCAAAGTCTGCAGATAATTAATAAGCTCAGAGGAAGAGACGTGAAGGAAGTCTTTGCACCCGAGATATGGATCAAACATTTTTTAGGCCTTTGCCTCTCACAAAACCCTTGAGACTGTGGCTGTCTGTCTTATTTTGATCTGTGAGATTGACAATCTGTATATCTTTCTGTGCGTTCAAGTGTTGTTTAAAAAAACCTTTTTAAAGTGGATTGACATTTGCAACACATCTCTCACAGCTTAAACAGTGAATTGATTAGTAAATTAATGGTAACTAATTACTACAACTATTGTTTTAATCAATTAATTGGGAAAGTTATGTTTCAACATTCAATGGTCTCTGCTTCTTTTTTTTAATCTTTGTAAACTTTTGATGATGACTGAAGGCGTCACCTTGGGCTTTAGGAAACTGTGTCGGCCACTATTACATATTTTAGGCATTTGTCTTGTTTAGGCCGAATAACTGATTCATTAATTGATAATAAAACACGCAGAAATATGCACACTCTATTAAGAAACTGGTCCAACTTTTTCCAGGCAGAATGACTTACTATTGATGTAAGAAAGTTTTGTTGAGGAGAAAACAAACCGCCAGTGCATATTTTACTATATATTTAAGTTTAAAAGAAGACAAAGTCTTTACAGACAATTTAATGGATTTCCCTGATATCAGGTAACATGGCTGGTTTGTGAGGAGGAAGTTGGGTTTGAAACATTACTCTGATCCTTCCTTTAAACTGAAGAGAGTCAGCCAGCTAGTAAAAAGAGCGAGCGGTAGTTGTAGTGGGGGTGGTTCCTCCTTCCTCAGTCATAAGACTGCACTCGTTTCCACTTAGCTTCGTCAGGTGACTCTGTCAAGTCATGTGCTGTGAAGTGTGTGCGTACAGCAGACAATGCATGCTCAAAGGAGGGTGGGGAGAAGGAATATAAACAGCTTGGTTGTGAGTTTTGATGTTAAAGGGGAACGCCACTGATTCTGATTCCATCTGATGTGGCTTTTTCTTCTGACTTCAGTTCACATAAATGAGCAATATACAAAAGTCTGAAAATGGGGGGGAGGCGGATACAGTATTTGGCTTGTTTGTTGTTTTTTTCACAGGTTTGGACATAGTTACACATAAACTAGATTTTTAGTGTCAGAAATTGCAGACTATTTAAACCTTAAATACTGTGTAATGAGCAGTATTAGACTTCTTTTATTAATAAAAGTATGTAAAAGTGTAGTAGTACAAGAGATCCTATGGAGTATGTCATAGTTATACTACATTTTTTTCTTGTTGTACTCATGACTGTGTTCTTATAGGAAACTTCCTTTATATTGTAATATATAATATATATATGTAATATGGATGGAACATGCCTGATTAAAATGTGTGTGTGAAGTGGCTATATTCTACTTTATTATACCTTATTAATTAATTGCATACGTGTGTGTATATGCCCGTCCGACCCTGCACACATTCTCTACAGTAAATCGATATTTTCAGTCAAAAGTCACACAGTTTTATAAGAAGATGACTTATATTTGTGTCTTTCCTTTCAGTCTGGACATTTCAGTGAAGACATGATCCCTACAGTCGGGTTCAATATGAGGAAGGTCTCCAAAGGAAACGTCACCATCAAAGTATGTCGACTGTAACTAGGAGTTATTGAGCATTGTTAATGACATTTGAAACATGAATATCATGGGATGATGTGCCCTTAATTCTGTAGATCTGGGATATAGGAGGGCAGCCAAGGTTCAGGAGCATGTGGGAGCGCTACTGTCGGGGAGTTAATGCAATCGTGTGAGTATGTCCGGGTCAGTTTTGATTCTCAAGTTTGTATGAAAAAGAAATGAGAATACATTTAACAAGCACTTGGGGTTGAATTAGCCATACGGTAAATGTATGTGAAACACATTTTACTAATTGTTTCGGGGGTTGTTTCTGTGTTGTCATTTGTAGGTACATGGTTGACGCAGCAGATCGAGAAAAGGTTGAAGCTTCCAGAAACGAGCTTCATAATTTATTAGACAAACCTCAGTTGCAAGGAATTCCTGTAAGTTTCTACTTAAAACAGTTTTAAGATTTGTGTGATTTCTGGACCAGACACGCAAAACGTGTGTGTGTGTGTGTGTGTGTGTGTGTGTGTGTGTGTGTGTGTGTGTGTGTGTGTGTGTGTGTGTGTGTGTGTGTGTGTGTGTGTGTGTGAATTCTGTTAATGACTAAGTGCTGCAGTGGCAGACTTAAAATGTAATGTATTTTTAGGTTTTGGTACTCGGTAACAAAAGGGATCTTCCCACTGCTCTAGATGAAAAGCAGCTCATTGAGAAAATGTGAGTATGAAAAATGGTGGAAATACCTTTAATGTATTTAATTTGAAGTTTTAAGTTCTGTCATTTGTTAAGTACAACAATGCACTGCTAATTATTTCTGTCATGAAAATGGCTGTATTTATTCTTATTTAGAGTTTTACTGGAACAAAAAAGTGGAATTTAATTTCAGAATATTATTAAAATCTGACTGGTCTGTATATATTTCCAATGGGGTTTTCAAAACCTCCCCCCAGACAAAACATGGAAACAGGCGCCCCTTAAGCCCCCCTTAAATAAATCAGACTTTGTTTGCTTGCTTAGTTTTCCTCAATCCCTGAATGCCTATGGGATCATGCTTATCTTATTTGATCCCATTGACACTCAACAATTGAGCCAAGATAGCCTTATATTGCTGTTTGACATAACTTTAGACTACACCAAATGCATAAATAAGGGCTGTCCTATTAGCATTTATTAGTTTCTGACTCTGGAAGGTGGGAAAAACTACTATTGCAAAACTACTGTATCTCTGAACTGTCTCTTTAACCAAAGCACACACATCTTCTATGTGATCTCATTTTGAAAACTAATGTAATAACTAATATCACGTGCACATCCCCCTTTTCTCTTTGATTTATTTGATTTGTTAAAACTGTGTTAAGCGGTAGTTTACTGTAAGGAAGTGGCTCCCTCTGCTGTCAAATGAGAAAGGTGCTCAGAGTTGAGCTAAGACCTTAAACTGTGTCGCACAGGCTGCAGATGAATGACATTGATGATCAGTCTGAATGCATGCTTATGTATATATATATATATATATTTATTTGTCCATGCACTTTTTTCCCTTCAAAGGAACCTGGCGGCTATTCAGGACAGAGAGATATGCTGCTACTCAATTTCCTGCAAAGAGAAAGACAACATCGGTGAGTTGCAGTTAATGACTGCAGTAATAGACGCTTTGGCTCAATTATTATAATTTTTTTTATGCAATTCAAATCTCTGAACAATTAGATTGTTGTTGCGTGTTCGTGAAGCACTTTGTCACTGTGTGTTTTAAAAAGTGCTATATAAATAAAGCTTTACTTACTTAGAATTTGCACCACTTTCATCATTTAAGCCATCACATGCAAAATTATCCATTCAGTTATCAAAATCTGTCAGAAATACATGTATATTCCATAAATATCTATGACATGAAATGTTTGTGATGTCTGCTATATTGGTAATGAACTAAAACAGGATCCTGACACTCACAGAGAAATATCTTCTTGTTTCTCGAGGGAAAACAAACACATTTGAGCTCTAAGCCATCATCAGTGTAGTGCAGTCAGTAAAAAGGGCAATTTATTGATGTGGTTTAAAACACAATCAGCAAACAGTATGATTGCATGATCAAATACATCTGTGAATGAGCCGCCCATAAGCAGCCTCTCGTAATGAAAAAGGTGTGACCACAGACATGAAAATAATGAGCTGTGACATTATGTGAAAATGTTAGTATGACTGCCCAGAAATGCATAGCAACAAAAAGAGCTATACAATCCCGATTAACCGACTTACATGAAGCTATAGATAAAGACAATTGTATAATATTGAGAAAAACCTTAATTATGAATTACATGGTATATGACCTCAAGTGAGGAAAAGTATAATACCCTTGTCTATGCTTCATACTATACAAAATACACTGATACGTGCTCTATATAAAATAAACCAGACAGGCAGAGGGTAATGAGTTGAAAGATCAAAGGCTAACTTTCTGTTTACAGTACATGTAACACATTGCTACACAAATAAATGTACTGTATACATGCGTATGTTCATAGCCTTTTTCTGTCTACTTCAGTATTGTACAGTATTAACTTACCTACAGTTGAAATCTGAGTCTAAAAAGCTCAGTGCGATACACAATAGCATTCAGCTAGACTGACATTCTTCTTCTTCTCAAAAACCATGGTGGACAAAACATCGAAACATTTTGATGAGTTCGGCTCACACAATGATAAAAACATTGTTTCATTTTGGTGGTATTGGCCAATTTACTGACACAACAGTTGTGACAATTGAACTTACAGTTTATTACTGTTTCAAATAATGAGCCAAAGCAAATGAAAGAAACTGTATATCAAGAGCCTAATTGCACACAGTTTATATTTTACTCACAATTACTCAAATCTCTGTAAACAGTCTTGTGTTACTGTCCAGCCCTGAAAATCCAGATGATGGAAGAGATGGTCGCATAATAATAAACTTAAAGGGCTATTCCACCGATATTACATATGAAATTTACTCTTTATGAGTACTACTCACCCTATGAGTACAGTTGTATAATTTCTGTGGCTCGGGAGGAGTTGACTTAAAAATAATCCTGGTGATGTAATGAAAGACGTAATTAAGTTGTATTATGGGAATTGTAGGTTTCAGTGTTTTTTAAGCTCCACTGATTAGAGAAAGTCAGGATATCTCTCTGCTGCTTAGATTCTGACCATGTGAGTCTCAAAACTTTATGGTGCAATACAAAATCATTGTAGTGTCCTTTTAAAAAAAAACAGCAGCAGGTGATCCACGTTTTTTTGGGGCTAAATGCAGCCTGAGAAGATAAATGCAGGGAATGGTTGGGCCTGAAAATGTATTCCGAACTCCTTTTCTGTCAGTCTCTGTAAATAATTTTATAAGGAGTACGGTCTAGACCTGCTCTTTTTATAAAGTGTCCTGAGATAACTTCTGTTATGATTTGTTTCTATAAAAATAAAATTGAAATAAAAGTTGGTTAGTACATTACAATGCAGTAATGTCCACATTTATTTAATTATTTTTAACTTGATTCATTTATTTTACTTTACCATTGTATTTTACCTTAGTTATAGCAAGCACAATAACAGATTTTTTTTTTTTTGTTTGTTTAAGAACAGAGTTTCCTTGTGTCACTTCTGACCCCAAACCTCCACTCTTGTCTTAACCTGCAGTATAAGTGAGGGCAATCATTATGGAAAGCACCAAACATGATTATAGTGTTTGAATGGGGTTCTGTGTAGCTCAATCTGTAGGATGTATTGTATCATATGTTGCGTTGCAAGTGAGTTAGGAATGCCTGAATCATAAACTGATTCTCAGACTGACTCGGCCGTTTCATTGATTCCAGATATCACACTTCAGTGGCTCATCCAGCACTCAAAATCCAGGAGGAGCTGAAAATGCACGAGTTGTTTCCCAGCTGTGTTTGCCATGTTACTGTCATGCCACAACCCAATCACTCTGCTGCGTCGATGTTCAGTCTTCAACACACATGCTGCACTGTTCTGCTCGTTTCACACAAGTTCCTTTTCTCCCCCTTTTCACCTTGTGATTCTTTCACAAACCCTGAGAATGCACTACTAAAAATGTGATTCTGAAATTTAAGGAATGCAATTGGCATTATTCTGTACGTCCTGCAAAGCTGTTTCCTTTAACTTGGAGTAAGAACCTAATTTATCTATCTTCTTTTTACCATTTAGGCATTAACCGGTTGATCATACCCAGTGGTTTAAAACACTAATCTTGGGTATACAACAACACCCTTCTTAAGTGAGGGCTGAATTTGTCAAACAGGCCTCACATAACAAAAAACAAGTTCTTCACACAGTCAGATATGATGCCTGAAGATGGATGAAGTGGACATCCAGGTTTTCCCGTTTCTGTAGAGCTCCACCCTGTGATTGTCTTCATTGGGTGTCACCTTTCGCTCCATCAGGTTTTCTTTTTACGAGGAGTCCATTGTTTTAGAAAATTGTGCATTTAAGCAAGTTAATTGAAACAGGTCTGTACAAATATCAAGCTAGTATGATTTTTACTGATGTGAGATGTGCGTGTATGAATATATAATTCTATTTAAAGTCTGAATGTACTAGAAGTAAAGCTGTACGGGATTGTGTGGTTCATATTGGCCTCTGTTTGTAAGTAGTCTCAGTGGAATGATGTTCTTTGTGCTGCCTTGAGGCTGAGAGAGCGGCAGAATTCAAAGTGCCTTGTGCAATGTCTCTCACCTCTGAAGCAAAGCAGCGTGCAAGGTGTGCCTACCTGGGTAGAGTAAAAAAAAAAACCACTTCAAGAAATAAAAAGGCATGCTTTTTAATTTAGACATTGTCCTGTTATTTGTACACCAAATTATGAACCAAATCGTTCTTTAAGTGTATGCACGTGTATGAGAAAGGTTTGGCATGTTACTGAGAAGGTATTTCTTTTATTGTTGCTGGGCTTCTGAGAAGAGTAAGCCTTTTATTTTGAACTGAACTGTCTCTGTGTGGTAAATTTTTAGAGTAAGTCTTCAAATACCCCCACAGTGTGAAAATAAGGACCTTTGCTCAGGTTGATGTTTGTTGGCACAATGCAAAGGATTACCTTATTAGGTCACCTAAATCAGCGGTTCGCTGTGTGGGGGTCCTTGAGGGGGTTCTGAACAAATGTATTGTGTTCAAAGGTTTCACACTTTTCATTGTTAATCTGTCAATACAGTTTAAACAGTTATGTAATAATCAAATCTTATAAGACGAGGGTCCTTGACACCAAAAAGGCTGAGAACCACTGACCTACACTCCATATACTAATAATAGCTGCAACAAAACTTACATGAGAGTCAGTCAAGTTCAGGTTATACACACCCACACAGTCCTGACAACAGTTCTAATCAAGCAAGTGAAAACACTTGTGTAGGTCTACCATGGATCTTTAAATATCCCTTTAAAAATACTAAAATAGTAAAAGAAAATAAAGTTTGATATTTAACTGTACTTCTTGCAAAAAAATCTTGTTTGCGTAAAATATTCATTATACAAGCTATATTTTAGAAGATAGATAGATTTTATTAATCCCCGAAGGGATATTGGGTTGTCATAGAAGCCAGGTACATTTAAATACAATAAAATACAACAATAGAATAAAATACTGAGGTAGAAAAGATAAATAGATAGATAAGGTGCAAAGAAGTTGTAGTTGCAAGATGGTGGTAAGAGTACTGATGATACGAAGGTAGTGTTATTGTTAACAGTATATAATAATAATAATGATATGTGTATATATAATATGTACATATATATATATACAAGATATACGATATATAGCACATGTATTATAGATACTTGACTATACAAGAAAGATATACATACAATAAATAATATATATTGTAATATAATAATAATAATAATAATAATATAATTATTATTAATATAATAATAATATATTGTATAAATATGATATATAATATCAACATGGTTTATATTAACACATATCACATATGATATGAAGTATATGTTCCCCAGGTAGATTTAGTCCAGTTTTGTAATTGTGGCTCTGACAGAGGAAGATGAGTTATAGAGTCTTATAACAGTGGGGAGGAACGATTTTCTGTATCGTTCCTTAGAGCAGCGTGGTTGAATGAGTCTGTTGCTGAAGCTGCTCTTTAGCTTGTCCAGTGTTGTGTGGAGGGGGTGAGAGGGATTGTCCATGATTGCCAGCAGTTTTGCCAACATCCTCTCCTCCATCACCCACTCCAGGGTGACAAGCTTAGAAACAACAACTTACTCAGCCTTTTTAATGAGTTTGTTCAGTCTGTTGGCGTCCTTTGCCTTGATGCCCACAACCCAGGACACCGCAGCAAAGAAGATGGTGCTCGCCACAACAGACTGATAGAACATCTGCAACATCCTGTTGCAGACATTGAAGGAACTGAGCCTCCTCAGGAAGTAAAGCTGGCTCAGGCCCTTCTTGTATATGGCCTCTGAGTTTGTGGACCAGTCCAGTTTGTTGTCCAGTGTGACACCCAAGTACTTATACACCGACACCATATCCACATCTGTCCCACCGATGCTGACAGGAGAGGGCAGGGACTTGTTCCTCCTGAAGTCCACCACCATCTCCTTTGTCTTTGCCACATTCAGCTGCAGGTGGTTCTCCTCACACCACTTCACAAAGCGGTCGACCAGGTCCCTGTACTCAGCCTCCCTCCCACCCTCAACACACCCCACAATAGCTGTGTCATCAGAGAATTTCTGAAGATGACACGACTCAGTGCAGTACTTAAAGTCTGCAGTGTAGGGGAGACAGTACAGTTCCCTGGGGGGCCCCGATGTTACTAATCAGACGGTCAGACACACAGTTCTTTAATCCCACAAACTGTGGTCTGCCCGTCAGATAGTCATCGACCCATGTGATGAGGGGATCACCCACCTGTGTGTTCTCCAGGTTGGCCTTCGGCAGTCTGGTTGTATGCAGATGAAGTTGCATCACTTAATTTGTGTTTTGCCTTTATAACCCCAATATGCAAAGTGATAGCAATAGTAGTACCAATGTAAAGATAAGAGCAGGGCAGCAGAAAGATAGAAGTAGTGTATTATGAAAATACAAAATTAGAGTTACTAAGACTTATTACTTCGTGGTTTGGTGGCCTCAGGTAAAAAAAACAAATATTTTTCTTATGATCAGCATTAAAATCACAGGTGTAATTGATAACATTAAATGTTCAGTTTAGGTGAGCTAGTTCTAGGATCCTCATGTTATCCATGATCTTTAATGAAATTTGCATCACACTTTACCTACAGTGAAAAGTGAAAAAAAGTCTATATTATGTAACTGAGGTGGTAAGCCACATTGTGATTAGTCAGTAGATTTGTGTCACACTAATTCAATATATGGCATTTGCTCTTTTACCCTATGGTTAATGTTTTCTTTTATAAAAATGTATCACTTTTTGTGCTGCGGTGGTGCCCTTCTGCTGTAGATCTCTGTGGGAAGATCTCATTTTGGTTGGTAATCTGTTTATAAATATATTTCTCACAGTCAGGTTTTTTTTTTTTAACAAGGTTATTCAATATTTATTTGTGAAAAATAATTTTTTCCAGAAGAAGGTCACAACCACCCACAAGGTTTTCGTTATTGGATAGGCTAATAACCTGTTTATACAGCTTTAGTACATTATTCATTAGCCACCAATAAAGCCAACACTTTGGGTCTTATTAGAAAATGCTACAAATATAATAATAATATAATAATAATGCAGATTAAAATATCTACTTGTTACATTGACATGTAGCCGGCAGCCTTTGTCATTTTTAATTTGCTAACCAAAACTTAAACAAAAGATGTTTCAGTTTAAAGCCCTGAACATTTCACTCTTGTGTCCGTTTTCTATTGGAGGAGAAGTTAGATTAAGACACGTCAGAAATGCCACGAAACGCGACCAGGTGATTGACAGCTCCTCGGCCAATCACGAGACGATGGCGCTTCGATTGTTTTAATGACGACACAGGGGACGAGCCAATCACAGCTCTGGATCTTGGAGGGGCGGTTCTGTTGACAGGAAGCGTGTGAGGCGGAATCACTACAACCTCTCTGTGCTTGTAGTTTAGCCTGACAAACAGGATTTCACATTCGTTCACCCCTCGGAGGTGTGTGGACTTAAATTATGCGTTTTAACATCGATCCGGATCAAAGATGCAATGGAGGTCAATAGTAGTTGGTCTGGTCGTATTGAGACTCTCCCTCAGCTGTGTGCTGTGGCTAGCCTTCGGACTCGGACCCAGCGTTAGCTGGGGGTTCAACTTCCACCTGGGTTTCAGTTTGCACAAATTAGACTTGTTATTCAGAGAGGAGAGAGGGACCGACCCGAGGGGCAGCTCGTGGTCTCAACGAATACACGGGCAGAGATATGAAGAGACGGCGAGCACCTGTGCGAAGGTGGAAGAGGAGTCCCTCAAGAGATCCTACCTGAGCTTCTTCGATGGCAACAAGGACGAGTACGTCCGCAGATACCGCACCTTCCCGGACACACTCAAAGCCAAAATGAAGGACATGGCCAAAGAAATGTTCTATTTCGGATATGACAATTACATGAAATATGCCTTTCCCGAGGACGAGCTGAATCCCATTGACTGTGAGGGGAGGGGACCAGACGTGCTAAACCCGTGAGTCATTCAAAGCTGTCCTGACTGGCAGGCACCTACTGGACAGACATTTACATCCTAACTGTCCTCTGCACACCGGACTATTTGCATTTAGTTTGTAATCATATTAGCTGGTAGTGTAATCCTGCTGCTCTCAGTGCTGCCCACTGCTGCTCAGTAATGAACACGTTGGGCTTCAGACTGTACAGTAGGTCCCAAACTGGCATCCAGCTATCACTTAAAGGGTCTTTATGGGGGTCCCAGGGGCTTTATGACACATTAAGGAACTGTTAATACTCAAATATTTAATCTAATGAACACAGAAATAAATAAAAATAGGGATGCAGGGTATGGAGCCGATATGATAAACTATAATTACCTTCTTGTCATGGCCGATATCGGTAAGGTAACTGATAATTTCACATTTTTGTATTTTAAAAAGAAGTTCATAACCCGTAGTTTAGGGTGGATAATCACTATTGTTAATAACAATAATACACCAGCAGTTCTGATCCTTCAGATGTTCATTTATTATTAACTTCACAAACATACTTTGGCTTTGATCCCAATTAGTATTGTGTATCTCTAGAAAAAGACATTAGGATTTCAAATAACGATTATTTTATCATCAATTTATCTGCTGATTATTGAATCATTTCATTATTTAGTTTTAAATGTCAGGAAATAATGTAAAATGTCCATCACATTCCCCAGAGCCCTAGGGGACATATTCAAATTGCTTGTTTAGTACGACCCAAGTACTAAACCTAAAAAAAATCAGTGAAAGACAAAAAGAAAGGCGTGTGTGTAATTATAGTGAAAGTCCAGCAAGCTTCAGAGGAAGTTTTTGTAAACCCATTTCAAACAGAATGCTGTTGTAATTCTTGTCTTTCAGGTTTTGGGGATGGTTCAGTCTTTTTGAATTTGTATAGCTGAAAGCTATACCTGTCAATATTATTCCCATGTGCTGAACATTGAAACTGAAAGACTAGAATTACACTACAAAATGCAATCCAATCAAAAGTTTCACTCCCCATACTGTTATTCTAGATTTTCAGGGTCAACTGTTGTCCAGTTTGCGTACAGAGTAAACTGAGAATAAGATGTGAAATAAGATCCTGCTCTCACAGAAGCTAATTTATGTGTCATGTAAAAACAGGTCACCCAAATACCCAAAAAGCCATAGTGGTTATCTAGCCATGCTGGTAGTTATGCTTGTGGCAAGGTTTTAAGATATGACCGCTTTTCCTTTTATGGTGCATAAAGCATCGGAAAATATCACTGGAAGAGCTTTCGATTCACAAAAGTGAGCACCCCAAGATGATAAATGCTGTTCCATCGTTAGATGCACATTTTCAGTTAAATATGTATCTAATATTGTCATGTGATTGATTTAAAAAAACATTCTTTATTATCTGCAGCTGCGGACTCAACAATGTTATCCATCAACATTTCTTCACTCACATAGCAGAAACAGAGCTTTCGAAATTTCAAATGTCTTCAGTTGGAACTAATCATTTCATCGTCATTCATGATTCATTTCCTGCTGTTCCATGTCGTACTTAATAATATATTTAATATTTTTGGGTTTCACTGAGTCAATAATCTGCAGATGTTTCGATAATGAAAATAATGCTGTACTGATAATAATCTTGTAATGAGGGAGAACAACCACACTTTGTGGCGTAATATCAGAAAGTTTAGTGTGCTGTGTTGTGTTGCCGTTTCATTCAGACACTCCACTTTGTGATGTGAAATATGCTCCCTGTTTTGTGATCTGTTGATAATTTCTCCCCCTTTTTGCACAACACCACTGAGTCCGTTTCCCTGTTTCATTTCAGGTCAAACATCAACATAAACGATGTTCTGGGGAACTATTCCCTTACACTGATTGACACCTTAGACACCCTACTGGTAAGTTGTATCTCCATTACTGTGTCTTTATGTTAGACAATGCACTGCAGACTGAGCACAGTTTTCAGTTTTCATTGCTCTTATAGAGATAAAGTTGGAAATTAGAATCTGTGCAGGCAGTGGTAGAAACCTCACATGCTTGCTTACACACACACACACACACACACACACACACACACACACACACACACACACACACACACACACACACACACACACAAAATAAATCATAGAGAGAAACCAGTGTTGCCACTGCCAACTGGCTGACACTAGCAGAACTTCCATGGTGGACCAGAAGGAGTTATTGAAACAAAGTTATTAAACTATATTCATTATGTGGAATGAAACAAAAATAACTTAAATTTCAGACAATGGTTGTTAAGTCTGGGACACAAATTAGAATTTGGGACAGTTGTGGGAGACTGAGGGTTTTAGGTTTGAGCCCTGTGTTCACCTTCTGTTTAGTATTGACATTTGGCAATATATTAACTTTAAGCAGAGGTTTTTACATTGTCCTAACATCACTTTTGTTCTCCATTCAGTAGCACAGTGGTTTGCACTTCCTGTGTTGTAAGTTGTGTGTTTTCTACCTCAACCAAAACTTCCCCTGACACGGAGTCAGATGGAGCAGAGTCTCTACTGCCTGTAGGTACAAGTGTTACTGTGTTTAAACCCAAGGTGTCTCTTTGTCCTGTGCTCATATCCAGAATCCATAATCCTAAACAGGATCCTGGATTAGAAAATATTGCCAAAATATTTTCGGTGAGAGTTATTTAGTGCACTGGACTCTTTTATGAAGTTATAACTAGATGGTTTAGAGTTTATTTTCAATAGTTGCCATCTATAATGATAAAAATAGAATTTGAGCAAAATACCTGTGAGCCACTCAGTAGTTATGTGACCAAAGACGCTTGTTGATACGGTATACTGAAGTTATATAATGTGGTGTTCTCTGCAGGTGCTCGGCAATGTGACAGAGTTCCAGAGAGCTGTCAAGCTGGTTATAGATACTGTGTCTTTTGACAAAGACTCAACTGTGCAAGTTTTTGAGGCAAACATCAGGTACAAATGTTGCTACTATTTCATGTATTTGATATTCATTTGAGTTGACGACATTCTCAGAACTCTTAACAATTTCAGATTTCAAGAAACAAATCTTGTCAAACACTCCAGAGAACTGCTTCATCTGTCTTATATCGATCTCGAATTTTTTTTTTTTTTACTTTCTTAATATTCAGCTGCACTCAATTAGCTTACAGTATGTATATAATTGATTTAATTTACTTTAAAAAGTAAAGCAGGCACTCTGAAAACAACCCATCAGTTTTGCACTTGATCAAGTTTAATTGTGAAAGTCAGAATCTTGAATGTGATCATGATTACTTCTGTAGCGCTTAATAGGACTTTTAAATTCTGTTTGAAATTATTTTAAAAAATTAAGACCTTTTTCACAGCAGCCATTTTGACAGGTGTTACCAGTGTTACTAATTAAAGTTGCATTCAGGTCACAGTCAGGGTGCTGCTGATGTGCATGCTGGCCCATCGGAAAGGCTCTGCTACACTAAATAACAGAGCCGTAATTGGTAACATTGGTAACACTGGTGTTTACCCTACTATTTCGTGTCAAAATGGCTGCTGTGAAAAATGATAAACAATTTGACATGTGAGTTACCATAGGTAAACAGATGTCATGATACTGATATTAATCTGTTTCTGTGTGGAACTCCTTTTCTCTGAAGAATTTTGGGAGGCCTTATCTCATCTCACATCCTGCTGACGGACCCAAAACATCCTTTTGGCAAGGTGGGCTTTGAAGGTTACGATAACGAGCTGCTTCACTTGGCTCATGACTTGGCTGTCCGCTTGCTGCCAGCCTTTGAGAACACCAGCACGGGCATTCCTTACCCCAGGGTGAGTGAGACTGTTGTGACGATGAAGATGCCAACTAATATACATTTCATAAAGACTGAAATGTCACTCAGCATTTTTATTGATTTGTATCTTAAATGCAGGTGAACCTGAAGACGGGGGTTCCTCCTGATAGCATCAATGAGACTTGTACTGCAGGAGCTGGGTCCTTGCTGGTGGAGTTTGGGATTTTGAGCCGCTTGATTGGAGATTCCACGTTTGAGTGGGTCGCCAGACGAGCTGTCAGAGCTCTGTGGAGCCTTAGGAGCAACGAAACCGGCCTGTTAGGTACGCACAGCTTTTAATGTAAACTTTTACTCAGAATGGTAAGTCTACGACATGTAAATATGATGTCTGCGGTCATCATAAACTTTACTTTCTCTCTGTAATTCTTTAGGGAATGTAGTTAATATCCAAACCGGCCAGTGGGTTGGCAAGCAGAGCGGTCTGGGAGCTGGTATGGACTCCTTCTATGAGTATTTGCTCAAATCATACATCCTGTTTGGTGAAAAAGAGGACTACAAGATGTTCCAAGCTGCTTATGAAAGCATTCAGAATCACATGAGAAGAGGGTGAGTCCCGCACTGAAAGAATGTGACACTGGAGCTTATGTGAAAGTAACAGTGTGTGTTGGCGGCATAAGGAAGATTCACGCAAGGTTGCACCTGAAACGAGAAACTTTTGCTGCCATGTAAATGAGTCTATGCCTGAGATTGGCAACACACAGAGGAAATGAAACTGCTGACAGTTTTCAGTATTCTTTTTCTTACTGAAGGTGGAAAGGAGATGTGGAAAGTTGAATTCTGACACTTGTGGCGGTCACGAGATGTCTGACAGGACATCTGCATTCACACAGAGCCACACAGTAACACATTCTTCCTCCTCAGCAACTGCTGATAATAGGGACATAACTAACTGAGAGAGTAGTATGACATATTGTGAAACCTCCTCTGCCTCTGTGTTTTTCCAGGAGAGAGTCATGTAATGAAGGAGAGGGTGACCCACCTCTCTATGTTAATGTGAACATGTTCAGCGGTGAGATAATGAACACCTGGATTGACTCCCTTCAGGCCTTTTTTCCTGGGCTGCAGGTTAGATTTTGCACTTTAAGCTTTGACACATGAGGTGAAATCTGTGTTGTGTTTAACTAAAAGTAGGCGGTTCCACTCTGTATACTAGGTGCTGAATGGTGATGTAGATAATGCAATTTGCCTGCACGCCTTCTACTATGCCATCTGGAAGCGCTTCGGGGCTTTGCCAGAGAGATACAACTGGCAGCTGCAGGCTCCCGATGTGCTCTTCTACCCTTTAAGACCTGAGCTGGTGGAGTCTACATATCTGCTGTACCAGGTAACAGTTCTGATCTGTCGTAACGCAGCATTGGTGTTGGTGGTTTGTTGTATGCTATCTTTTACTCATGGGGTCTTTTCTTCTTCTTCACTTCCCACAGGCGACCAAAAATCCTTTCTATTTGCACGTTGGAATGGATATTCTTCAGAGCCTTGAGAAAAATGCCAAAGTCAGGTGCGGATTATACAGTATTGTGCTTTTTTGGGGGGAGTTTTACGATACTTGGATATGTCTACTTTAAGCCGAGCTGTGTCATTTGCAGATGTGGGTATGCCACTCTCCACCATGTTGTGGACAAATCCAAAGAAGATCGTATGGAGAGCTTCTTCCTCAGTGAGACATGCAAATACCTTTATCTGGTAAGCTATGACCTGAGCATATCAGAGATAAAGCTTTATTGTATATTTTTATTTATTCAGTTTACCAGGAAGTCCCATTGATATCAAAAATCTCTTTTACAAGAGAGACCTGGCCAAGGTAGCAGCCGTATTAATGTTATATATTAATGTGACCTCATGATTTGAGAGCATAACGTGATACAAGCTATTGTAGTAGACTAACTGTTGTATTCTCCTGGATTTAATCTTAGAGCCTGAAGTGCAGTTAACTGGTACAATTTATTAAACTAGACTATTGTAGCTGAGCATAAGTTCATTATAACCTTTTCCTAAATTCTTATATTTTAAATTATTGTTACAATTAATATATTTTTTTTAGAATAGATTAAGTTTTTTTCAATCAATGGATTAACTGATTAACTAATTAACTGAGCTCAAGGTAGCATCCTAAAATTGCTTGATTTGTTGCAAACCCATAGATACTTAATATTTATTTTAATTTTTAACAAACAGTATTAACAATATAAAACAGATAAATTACTGAAATCATAAATTAATTATTATTATAATATCTATAATAAACACTATTGATTATCTTCTGAATGTTGTCCCAATATTAATACCGAGGTAACCTCGTTTTTGATTTTGTTGGTGTCACCCAGCCATTGTCAAAAAGAAATTCAGACATTTCTCTGTTGCATTGCAGCTGTTTGATGAGGACAACCCGCTTCACAAATCTGATAACAAGTACATCTTCACCACAGAGGGCCACGTTGTGCCTATAGACAAGCTCTTCAGGGAGAAACAGTGGAATGACTTGTTTCCTTGTGAAGAGGGAGTGCTGACAGAAAGTGAGCCAAACAACCGGCTTAGCAACATCAGCAATGTAAGACCCAGTCCACCTCACTGTTTACAGTGTCATATGTAACATTACCTTTCTTAAAAAAAACACACTTTCTTAAAACACAATGCTATGATGAATTATTTGTTCCTATTTCTCTCATTCTGCAGTGCAACAGGATCTCAGAGGAGCAGCGGTACTCTCTGCCACTAAAGAGCGCCTACATGAGGCAGATCGATCACATGGTGGGACTTTACTGAGTTAAGAGGACGCATGTGGTGACACTGGCAAGAACAAGCCTTTAGCACACACGCCCTCGGGTGCAGATGCAGTGAGATTAAAAAGGATGCCCTGTTGGTCAGAATCCTCGTCCCGTCTGTTCTGCTGCTGAGGAAACTGACATGAAGGCAGAACCTGAGAAAGCAACTTTATCACTTGCTGCATTAAGTACAAGGCGAACAATCTTTCTCCTGCAAAATGAGGAGGTTGTGTAAGTGGTTTTAAAATTACTATATGGAGCAAAAAATGTTGGTGTGTGTGTGTCTGTGTGTGTGTCTGTGTGTGTGTGTGTGTGTGTGTGTGTGTGTGTGTCTGTGTGTGTGTCTGTGTGTGTGTGTTTGAAATTACAGCTGAGCTGTGAATCATAATATTGTGTTTATGGGAACAGTGCCATCTAGCCACACATATGTAAAATGCATAGCCTATAAAAACACTCACCTCAAAAAGTATCTCTCTGAACATGATGATTAGTGCCTCTTCTCAGTTTATTCACTTGACTAGTTCTGTGCTTTCACATAAGGGCTGCACATTAACAGATAACGGCAGTGAGAGAGGTTAAGGGTGACTCTTGCTGTTTTTAAAGTGCCTTCAGTTTTTTCTTCTCCTCTACAGTGCATATTAGTTGTGCATAACATTGTCAAGTATTTTTGGAGCCACTGTTGATATTGCACAATTGGCGTCATTCCATGTGTATACAGTTTTACACCGATTATGACATCCACGTTTTTTTTTTAAGACATGACGAAACAAGCCATAAAATGTATTTTTTAATGTTAATGAGTGAAAATGTGTTTGTTTTCACTATTTTTTTCTGTCCGACGTATTTAGTACACATAGTTTATTCTTGTTTAGAGTAGATGGAAGTTGCCATTTACTGTTTCTCTTTCTGTTTCTCTTAATTGCACATCAACATACCTATTAATTGTCATGTGGTGAGAACTCAGGGTTTAAATGAAAAACAAAAATCAATGAATGCTTTCATAATAAAATTAAACTTTCTTGAAATGTCTTAGGATAGTCTTAACTTTGTTATCTGAGGTCAAAGAATAACTGCACTGAACTAAAGTACAGTTGTACTGTGAATATTCATTGTTGTTCCACGCAGAAAGAAAAAGTGTATGCTGTCCCCTTAACGGTGAGGTTTGATTCATGTACAGCTCACCTGAAGTATATATTCTGTACTGGTTAATCTCTTACCAAACATCCTATGTGAGTGTAGGTAAGTAAAGCTCAGAGCTTCAGGCTGCATGGATCCATTACACCACAACATTGGCATCTTCTTTGGCTTTGGGAGACAGCTGTTCATATTCTAAATTGTTGTCTGAACTGCTCCAGGCCATAGGAATGATATTTCTGAGTTTTCTAACTGGCTAACATCATCCCAACCACTTTGTGCCAGATTACCTTTAAAGGAATAGTTAAACATTATGGGAAATACACAGACAAGATCGATACCACATACCAGTCTGGGTATCTGGTGATTATGATTTGTGAGCAAGACTAGCACGCAGATGGCAAATGTTTGCTCAGAAATTTAAATTGTTGTTCCTGCAGGACTCTTACGCGCATGCACAGGTCAAATGTATGGTGTTAATTCTATTTAATAAAACACATTAAAATTAATTGGATTGTTATTTTGCAAATTTGATGAAAATGGGTCCCAATATTAAGCTGCTGCTAGCAACAGGTTAGCCTAGCTTAGCACAAAGACAAGGGTAGTCAGCCAGTTTGGCTCTGTCCAAAGCTAACAAAATCCACCTACAAGCCCCTCTAAACTCACTAATTAACACGTTATAGCTCCTTTTAATTAATTTGGATTTGATATAATTTGTGAACTTTAGAGGTGCTTATGACTTGAGTTTGGTAAACTAACCCGCTGCTGGCAGTATCTTGCTGTTTACGGTACAGACATGAAAGTGGTATTGATCTTTCCATCTGACTCTCTGAAAGAAAGTGAATCACTGTATTTCCCAAAACTGAAACTATTAATTTAATCTGACTCAAATTAAAGGCAAATGCTGTTCAATCCTAAACGTGACTGGTTTTATAATTCTAGAAGTCATGAAATATTCTGTAAAATTAATAAATGACAGAGTATGAACAAGATATTGCTCTGTTGGTTTTTATTTGTGAAAAGTGGAAAACTACTCAGTTTTCTACAGAAGCTTTAATAGGTTTAGTAAAGGTTTACAGTTATTGGTTACTGTACAAGATAATCGGCTCAAAGGCCTGTAGATTCACTTAACTTTTAGACAAGGATTTTGAATTATATTACATCTACCACTCAACAGTGTTAAAGATCCACATGGTATCGGCCCCACTTCCTGGAAAACATTTTAATTATATACACTGGCCCTCAACTACTGCAAAAAGTAACATTTTCTAACAATTCATTTTGTTTCCTGTTTGAATTGTGTCTCAAACTGTACTGTAGAGTTTCTGCATGTAAAAGCCATTTCTAGCGACAAGTTCTTTTTAAATCTCTAACAAAAGTTGAAGTGCGTCTGCAGGTGGTGAGGCCCTCTTGTTTGCTTTTTGGCTGTATATTGACCAGTTACTGGAGCATAGAGACAATGCATAAGCTTGACATCTATTCACATTAGTACATGTCAGAAGAAATCACTTTATGCTGACAGAAGCGTTTGATGTCTTAACTACAGATTGCATAGCCCTCCCAAAGACGAGGTCAAGAGACTTGAGAGAGAAGTTAGCTTGACTAAAATTCAACTCGTGTGAAATCTGTACAGGATTTTCTGACTTAAGAGCTTTCTTCTGGTCTCAGTTGACCTGAAGTCTTTGGTCAAAGCTACAACTTGGTTTTGAACACAACAAATTACATTTTTATTTTTTGCGTTCGCTGGTTTGAGGATGGCTGTTGGAGGGGATGGTTTTCATCTTCAGTCCTCAGTGAGAAGGGATTTGTGGAATGTGACTGGGCTACAACATCACCCTGTAGAAAAGAAAGAAAAGACACGCTGCTTAATCAGCTGGTCCGCAAATTTGAATCATCGTTACGATACTGTGCAAACTTTACTCACCGTCATTGGGTGTCTCAGCGTGGCTCTTAGAAGAGACCACAATCTTTCAGGTTTTCTTTGATGATGATGTCAGTTACGGCGTCAAACACAAACTTGACGTTCTCTGTGTCTGTGGCACAGGTCATGTGAGAGTAGATTTCTTTGACGTCTCGACGTAAGTTCAGGTCCAAGAACTGCATTTTGATGTAGTGACCAGCATCCTCATAAGTGTTGGGGCCTTAACGAAAATGAAAGGGGCTCATTAGTTAGTTTGTCACTTTTTATCATCCTTAAATGCACTGCAATTTGTGTGTTTTGGTGACCTCACCATCATATTCGGGGAAGCACATGTTGAGATGAGCCTTCTTGATCTTCTCAATGAACACATCTTTCTTGTTAAGGAAGAGTACAATGGAGGTGGCAGCGAAGTAGCGGTGGTTGCAGATACTGTTGAACAAATGCAGACTTTCGTGCATTCGATTCTGAAAGAAAAATGTGCGTTGTCCAAATTTAGTTTTACCAAATCCTTTTTGGATAAGACACAAATAGTGTGAAATAGATGTTATCATACCACTTCATCATCCTCCACCAGCACCATGTCATAGGCGCTCAAAGCTGCAATGAAGATGATACAGGTGACACCTTCGAAACAATGGATCCACTTCTTCCTCTCTGACCTCTGGCCACCCACGTCAAACATTCTGCATGGAAACAGAAGCTTGTTATCTTTATGACTGAAATCCAGCACAGTGGGAGCACTGATCGTGAGTTATTGGTGCAGTCCTCTTGAGAAATGCCACACTGAATCACCTGAAATGGAGATCTTTGAAGGAAAACTGGGTCTCGATGATACCAGTGGTCTTCACTCTTGATCGCAGCACATCCTGCTCAGTGGGCACGTAGCCTGGTTGGACCAGCCGCTCCAAGTCATTCAGGTAGCTGAGGGGAAAATACAATTAATTCAATAACAAACACCAATGTGAGACTTTGCAACAATTTTAAATCTAAGCTGGTTTTCTTACTATCCAGCTGAGTCGTTGAGCTGGTACTCCGAGGCCCTGTCAAAGCAGGCCTGTATGCCGGAGTCCTTCCACAGGCGCAAAATGATGTCTGCCAGCTCTTTAGGCATGGTGCCTTCCTCAATGGTGTCTGCAAGATGCATGAGTTTCCTGGCATCATCCTGCAGGATGGATGCAAGAGGATAGAGGGGGACACATGTTTAGTTCTCAGCTAGAAACCTGAAATGAGTCAACGCAAAACACATTGAAGTCTATCTGAGCTGTTATTACCTGCTGATCAGCGTGGCCAAAACCAATATTGAGTGTGTTCATGGCCTTCACAATAGCCATGATGGACTGCAGGGTGTTGCTGTAGATGATGACAATGAACTCCAAGCATTCTTCAAGTGAGTAACCATCTTTGTGGATAATTCTGAAGAAAGAGTACAGTATTAGTATGTGATTTACAGTCAGAAAGGAATGAGACATTGCTTAGATGCAAAGTCAAATTATCTCACTTCATCTGTTTGACGATAGTGCTTTTTCCTGATTCTCCAGCACCTGTAAAAGAAGAAAAACATGTTAAATGTAGTTATAAATTCATAATAATACATTTGCAATATTTTTAACAACTTTAGAGAAACATGATTTTGTCTTAACAACAGTTTTTGTGGTTTTAGTCATGTTTTGCTTTAATTGATAGGAGACTGAAATTAACTGCAGGTGACCTCGTGGCATTTATCAGAAAGAGGAACCCAACAGGTCATAATACTTCTTACTTCAGGTCTAATCTTGTTCAAAGCTGATGTCAAGGGAAACTTTTCCTGTCCCTGACCTACATTGTCATGAGGAGATGATGAAGCTGAGCGTGAAAAAAATCCGTAACAATCCGACAGACATTCAGAACAGATTACTGTATTACTGTATTGTGTGCTTTTAAATCCAACATTGTTATGTACAATACACAGATATTATGGTATACAGAATGTGTTGGTCCTTAAATTGAAAAATTATTGAAATTAAAACATTTAAAAGTACACATTTTCTATCTCAATCAGCTAACTAAATAGTGCACGTGGTATATTTAGGTTATTGCACTTTAATGCTACAGCCACAGGCCCTATTTGAGATGGGCAGTATGGTATCTGTGTCCTTCAGGGTTAAGCCCTTTGTGTTGAGGACCTGTTGTTTCAGGATTAACAAGGGATTGAGTTGAGTGATTATAAGTGTCTCAGCAATTCAATGACATTAAGCTTTTACCTGACTCAAACATGTTGCTTGTATTCATCACAGTTCATTTAAATTTTTTAAAATGAAGCAGATTTAGCTAGAATTAGGTAATTCAGATAATAACAAACCTCAGTCAACAAGATCTTTTTGTGTTGATAATTTATAAAGTGTATGGAAGATTAAAAAAAAACTTTTTACAAGAGACAACAATTATGTCCCATAGGCAGATAGGGTCTATTTCTCTTGCATGACTTAACATAAAAAATAGCCTCACCAAGGGGCCTTATGGGGCCCTTAAATTTGACCAGCTCAACTGTCTTTACCTAGCAGCAGCAGCTTGACAGTTCTGGCATCCATGTCGGCATCCTCCTTCAGCTTCTTCTCCAGCTCTCTGGAGCGTTTGTCCTCAGCGCTGCCTCCAGCCCCCATCCTACTCTTCCTGGCTTGGGGCCCCTCTGCTCAAAAGCCAAGTGTCAAGAAAAATGGGAGTAGGTCCTAGGTGATCGCCTACTTTCCAACTGGTGCCGTCAACTGCGCAGCTGATGCGTCAACTGCCTGCAGCAAACACTGGAGAATGTTTGAGTATTTTCCTGTCTTAGGAGAGGATTTTGGGCATCCTCTACCCACCTGACTGAGGAGGGCCAATGGAGTGCAAGGACAGGGGTGTTTTAGGGCAGAGCGAAAGGTGTGGGGAGAAGCAGACATACATCAGTGTAGGAGTGATCTAACCTTTAGGGGGACTTTGCTGTGCTCAGCGGAAGATGAACATCGGCTCAAGTGCTTATCTCTCTATGCTGTTCTTAGGTGCCTTTAAAAGAGAAGCACGTAAAGCTAAATTACCTGGTGCTATCGCTGGGAACTCCCAACTAGATTAATCTAATATCAGAACCAAAATAGATATGAAGTCTGATGTGGTCTTAAATGTTTTTGCAACATGTGTTTGCAAAGAGGTCGATTAGGGGGATTAAAACAAAAGAACTCTCTACTCCACACAGAACAACCACAGCAAATGGGGTCACTAAAGTAAATAAGCAGACCCCTCAGCTCCCAGTCCACACATAAAGAAAGACATACTGACATTTCTCATAGGATATAGCAGACTGAAGGGTGAGCTCTGAAGTGCTTACAGAGCTTTGCGGTTTCACCTGACAGATCTCATTGACCTCAATCTGAAGCTGGTTAAGGATCCTAATCTACTCACTTTTAATTATGTATGCACATACAGTATGTGTGTGAGAACATTGCACTGCATTTTCCAACGGCAACATGTGGTTGTCTGGTTGTCTGTTGTAAGCACTCTGAAACCAACATTTATGCAGATAACCAGTGGTAGAATGTAACTAAGTACATTTAGTCAAGTACTGTTCTTAAGTAGAAATTTGAGGTACTTGTTCGGTATTTCCATTTTATGCTGCTTACATTTCAAATGGTGAATATTGTACTTTTACAAATAGAAAACATGATGAGCTTGTAAAATATGATAAAATGTTATAGGTTAAACAACCGAGAAGTGTATACAATTATTAAAAAATAGCTCCACATTGATCAGCTACAACAGTAAACTAGTACTTTCCCATTAATAATCTAATGATATAATGATAGAATGTGTAATAGTGCCTTCTGCATTGTGTACTTTTATCTTTGATACATTTTGCTGACAATACTAGGACAGATTTACAGTGTGGTATTGATACGATCAAACAACAAACCCGGCGGATACGTGCTCATCGGTGGCACACAGAACAGAACCTCTGTTATTATAAAATATAGAGCTTTAATTTATTAGTCAGCAACATTGATGAGGAAGAAAAAGATAGTAATTTTTTACAAGTCATTACAATAACATCAACTGTGCATTATATCATACATTACCTCAATGACCCAGAGCAAAGTCTGCCAAACAGAGAAAATAAAATAGATGCACGTGTTTGAAATATATGCAAATTTGTTTTGCAAAGTTTCGAGAACAAGCAAGAGAAAGAATAGAGAGACTAGGAGACGTAGAGAGAGAGAGAGAGAGAGAGAGAGAGAGAGAGAGAGAGAGAGAGAGAGAGAGAGAGAATAAAGAGAGAATTTTAAATAACAATCTGACCTTTCTGTACTTTCGGCATTTCCCACCATAAAATGGTTTGAGCACATCTTTCTTGCACTGATAGTTTTTCCATATTCCCACAACAAGAAAGACATTCACTGACATCCACAGCAACATAGCATTTTAGACAAATATCATACACATACACTGTACATGCCATGCACAATGAAAAGCCACCTTCTGAAGATTTTGGTACGAGTTTCTCTTCAGGTTTGGTGGTGATCAGCTTGTTAGTGGTTTTACTTGTGACATTTATTTTTTTTTACTGTATGGAAGTCGCTCAGTACAAACAATTCTATACGAAGTCTGTGGCACGTATGATAGCAGAATGGCACTGCGCTGGACTGACAAAACAAGTAGCTGTGAAAGTCTCTGTTGTAAACTGGCTGATACAGTAAATACAGAACCAATCAAAGAAGACAATTCCCAATCAATGCAAAGCAGAACATTTGTTGATATAATCCAATAGAAGTGTAGACTTATTACATGATTAATATTCACTTAGTGAAACCAATATTTTGCATGAAACTGGCAGGAATGCAAACGTTGGAGAGCTAAAAATAAACCTTTGAGCTGCACGCTCTGCCTTATATGAATATAATACAAATGCCACAGATACATGTGAAGGATTCACTGTTTATCAAGATTACCAATTTGGCAACAGAAGGTGCTTTGTCTCTAATATTTTTTTATTTATCACAAACTGTCACAAACTCACATATAGCTGCCTGCTGGAATTTCTTATCCCAAAAGAGGAAAGACAAGGCAATGTTATATTTTGTGCCGTTAAAAGACCCTTTCCCCCCAAAAAACAGCTTATCACAAAGATCACGTTTGTTAAGGATACAACATTGAGATGTGATATTCACATATAAACAAAACAAACACTTGGCAGCAACTGATTTTGGAAGAATTTGGGCATATGATGCAACATCATTACTTGAGGCCAGGCTGGACCACAACATGAACGGGAGACGTCTTACCGGCCCCAAAGGGCCTTTCATCAACATGTGACTGTACGAGTGTGACATGTTGTCACAGCTGCAGTCTGTGGACATTTCTTTTTATCCTTGCATGTCCCAAGAAATGCCGTCATCATTCTTTCAACAGCTTGCAGTAAAAAAACAACAACAACAAAAACCTGTCTGCTTTACAGTAGAGAGTTCTGGTGAAGAAGTTTAGGGAAGTTCAAGAATTTCACTGAAGCAGCGATTCGACTTCCAGCTTAGACACTGAATACTGCCTGCAGTCAAGTGATCCAACATGGTCGCCTTTAACAGTTTCTGAATACATGTTCCTCTGTCCTTGCCTACGCGTGGATAACTCCCAATGTCCTGGGTTATTGTTGCTGTTTCTCAAAAACACCAAACATAAAGATATTCTCAACATAATAACACATTGTAATAAACAATAACACTAACAATAATATTATAATAACAACAATATTTGCACAGATTTACCTATTCACAAAAAAAACATGTTTTTTCTAGATAGGTACAAAGAATTACTTTTTACAACCTACAATAAATATTGTGTGTTTTTTCCAACAGTTACTGTTTGATGCTGTTGCTTTTGGTTGCAGTATCTGCTTTTGTCCGTTATGATAATTTGATCTTTCTAACTGGAGTCATTACCCTAAATGGAGGGTTGCAGTGTTTAGGAGGTGGTGTGAAAAGGTAGACTTAGGGGTGTTTGAATATAATAAGGTGTATATCCAGCTCCTCATGTCTCAGCTGGAGTTGTCTGCTCATCATGATGCCGACGGTTGCGAGGCTTCTTCTGTTCTTTAAGCTCCTTCAGGCTTTTGGCTTTGTTGTCCCCAAGGCTGCCTTCTCCAAGCTGCCAGTAATCCTGGCAGTACTGGTTGATCAGGCCCATCTCTGGCTGGCTTAGGATGGTCAGCAGGTCCTTATACTGACCAGCGCTCGGAGTCCAGGCACTGGACTGCAGTGGAGGGAGGGCCGGGCTGCCCGTTTCCACCAACACGTTGTTAACCGTGCGACTGGAGAGGACCACGAGCTGCAGTTTGACAAGCGTGTGTTTGAAGTTTTTCTCTGTAGATGTGCACTGGTAGATGCCGCTGTCAGACGACTGCAGCGAGCGGATCAGAAGACCTTGTTCTGTTTTGAGGATGCGGCCCTCTGAGCGAATCTGGAAGGAAGGAAAGTGAAGATGTTAAATGTGAAATTTAAGCATTCCATTCATTCATTCGTCTTCTGCTTGCTCATTAAGATTCCCACACTAGACCTGCAGAATGAAAAGCATTATAAAGACAGCTGCAAATGGCTGTGGAAACATAACTGTAATTGTTTTACAGTGAAAGCTTTGCTCACCTCCTTTCTCCTGTCACTGTTTTCCTTCTGCAAGTGCCACTTGAGAGACACATGAGGGGACCTGGCCTGGCACTCCAGGAACGTTGTGCTGCCCTCCACACCATACTGAACTGTCTCCAGAGTATTCTTATTGGCTATAAAACAATATGTAGAATATACTTGATTTATTATTGCTGAGGAAAGTATATAAAATACTGGCACAATAATGAATAAATTAGAATAACAGGCCAATAAATACATTTAAAAAATCCTATTCCCACTTTAGTTGCTGTTGTTGTTTCGATACTGTGTGTACTGCATGGGCTTAATACAAAGTGATCCTCATACTCACTGTTAGAGTTATAACCTCTGCACTGGCGGATTGGGTTGCCGTACTTTACATCCTGCCGTCGGCTCCGTCTAGAGGGGTCAGATCAACAAACGAAAATAAAAAGCTTAACTTCAACATATTTTGAAAAATATTACGTGCTTAAGTAACAATTTAAATGTTCTTAACACACACACATAAGCACAGTAGCCTTGCATGGCCTGTATACTATCTTAATCCTCACCTCTTCTGTGAGGATGAGTATCTGGAGCAAGATTTGCCGTCCCAGGCGCAGTACGGGTCTCTGGCCAGACAGCAGTCAGCGCAGGCCTCCCCATACACATCACAGCGATGGAGAGCCAGGTGGGTCACCCCCAAGACTGAGCCTACATACAGTTGTTGCTATTAAAAAAAAATAGAGATAAAGATCAGAAAAGCTGCATTATGCTAATGATTTTCTATGCTAACTATGCAATTTGGGATTGTTTCAAATAAAATAAAGATGCTTTGAGACATTTATTAGTTACTTGTTGACTTTATAAGCAGTTGTTGTTCCTTTCTAAGAAATTGTAGGACTATGAGAACTGTAAATTAAAGCATTACTACGTTGTTTTAAATCATGGAAATTTTACAAATGTTTTATAATTTTCTTATTTATCATAAGTCTGATTGCTGTACTAAAATGATTTATTATTATCTAAATACATACCCGTTTTGATGAAATCTTCATGGTGGTAATGGCTGTGGGAACCTGCAGTGATACAGTAACAGCTTTAAATGAGCAGACCAGGAATATTCAGTGTGATATTCTTTGTCTCAGATAACAAACATATACACAATATACACAATATACATAAACATAGT